CAACTCTCTGCAGTATCGCTTAGACAACAGTTTTTCCCTACGCCCTCTGCAACTTTTGAGTTCAATAGTTTGGATTGAGGCGTACAGTAGTCGCAACATAAATCTCACGATATTATGAGTTAGTCGTACGGCTGTCTGATGATTTGGCTATTGAGTATCGTATAAATGTGCATGTATATTTTTGCTGCATCTTCTATGTCATCATCATCATCATATAACGGGGGTCCTACGGCGATTGCCGCTTCCCGCATTTCAGCCTCCATCTTTTCCTATCTCTCCAATCTTCCATTTCTAAGCCTCTAGATTGCATTGTTTTTGTAATTTCTCTTCTCCAGGAATTTGGTGGTCTTCCCCTTTTCCTTCTTTCTGGCGGAACATACGTTAAGGCTTTCTTTGGCCACCGCTCCTCTTCCATTCTCATCACGTGACCATACCATTGTAATTGCCTTCCTTGTATTCTATCTGAAAAAGTATCTCTAATTCCTGTACGGTTTCGTATTTCCTCATTCCTGATTCTTTCCATTCTCGATACTCGACATGACCTTCTAAGATAATCCATTTCCGCAACGTCTACTTTATCTCGTTCATTCTTTGTCATTGTCCAACATTCGGCACCATATGTGGTAATCGGTTCTATCTCCTATGTCATGTTTTTAATTAATCTATTTAACTGTGAATCCGCCAATTCACAGTCTCAGATCGAAAAAAATCCTGCAATATTTTTTTTATTATAAATAATATAAATACATGAAAATTATATTATGCTTATTGGCGACGTGCAAGTACTTGGATGTGATACGAGAAACGATCGTGCGCGACTAGCGGAGAAATCTTGCATTTTTTACTGCACATTTCATAGATTTCATAAATTCATATTGTCAATTGTCATATTTCATATTCGTTTGTTTACTTATACCTTCTGTTACTGAAGAAAATGGAATTTAGTAAATGATGTGTTATAAATTGTAAAAATACAACAAAAAATTGTCAATTTAAGTTTTATTCATTTCCAACTTCGAAGCACAAATTACTACAAAGAGAAAAGTGGATTTATATCGTAAAAAAGCATAAGTAATATAACCTAAATTATGCATTATTCTTGCGCCCGATTTTAAAGTCAGTTTGAAATAAATAATAAATAAAAGTTCACTTTTAAGTGTAAATTTTAGTTTCATAACACTCACTTAGAGTTCACTTTAACCCAAAAATCAAGTTTAATGTTTAAATTTTAGTTTTTTTGAAGTTTACAAAAATGCATAAAGTTCAAGTTTTTCTGAAGATGCATTAAGATATATTCGCTGTCCAAAAGTTTACAGGGAAAGAATTAATTGTTCAGACCAATATGATGATATCATGGGCTTAACCTGCTAATTTATGCATTAGCATTATTTATGGTAATTTATTGTTAATTCTTCCACATTCTTAACATGATTTGCCACTACTAAAGCTTTTCCCTTTGACTCAGTGCTTGGTTGAAAAGTTATTTGGTGATTTACTTTCTCAAATCCAGTTTTTATTATTGCATCCATATTAACAGTAATGCTGTAATTTAACAATATATTTATTTGTATTTACACTACATACAACGTTTACCTTTTAATAACAAACCGACATAACCTCAATCTTACTTTTTCTTCTTATTCTTTTTTGGGGCTACGTCCTTGACAGTTATCCGGTCACCTCGATCTAACATGAAAGCGCAGTAAATTTTGCTTATTTACGACACCAGGTGTCGCTGTTCCGAACTTGCAGGGTCGCCATAGTTGTCAATCCCATACAGAAGTATTTTAATGGTACAGCTAATTGGAATTCAAGTGAATCCACTAATAAGTTGGACCACTTTCTAGATATCACGTCTTGATGTATCAGATAAAATTGTGGCAGCCGTAGCTCAGTGACTGTTACTGGATTAACAAGATGAAGGGTCCGGGTTTGTATCCCGGCGCCGACAAAATTTTCAATTTCTAATTTAACTGAGCTGCCACCGTGCTTCGGAGGGCACATAAAGCCGTCGGTCCTGGCTACAAAAGTAGTCGTTAAGTCATGTTAGGGGCACCTGTGCGACCTAAAAACTATAACACTAGACCTTAGCCAGAAGGCGACACGAACTTTACTTTACTCTAGATGAAAATTGTGAAATTGTTGAAAATTTTCATATATTGGTACCTTTGGGCATGGGAATTTAAGGCAAAAGCGACAAATCCTTGAATATAGGTCTTATAGGTCTGGCTCATGACTTTTTATTATCATACATTTGATCTATTGAATGGTTCTGGTTAAATTCGAACGTAGACGTAGAGATTTATGTTAAGAAATGGTTCGAACACCAGGGAAAATGTTTTATCAACAGAGTATTTTTTATAGATTAGTTAAAATAAATTAGATACCATTCTTTTCGTTTAATTCTAGGGGTACTCATCAGGGTGGAGAAATTTTCGTTTATTAAAAATTAATAGATGAAAATACAGTAGTCTCTCTTTTATAACGATTCTCTATATAACGATAATTCCTCTATAACGATGAAAATAGTAAACGTTGTTTGGTCCGTCATAAGAACAATGTATTAATTCTTTCTCTATACCGATATCGTTCTCTCTTTATAGCGATGATTTTCAGCGTTCAATAGTCGATGACAAATGTGTTATTTTATTTAAAGTTCAGACTACCTCAGTCACGAGTGGCAAGGTCATTGTCCAGCGGTTGTTTACTTTTGCGAGTTGTGTCTTAGTCAGTCAATATGTTTTCGAAAAAGCCTAAAGTGCTCTCGGTGCAGGAAAAGTTATCGATAGCTCAAGCAATTGGATGTCGGGGCTATCTCAGTTAACTGTGGCTCCGATATGGAAGAACAGAAAAAAGTGGCTTGAAGCGGAGATGAAGGGCGGTAGCAGGAAGAAGTTGCGGAAATCTCAGCAGCAGCGTATGAATCCATCACTTTCTGGGCTGGACAAAAGCTGAGTTCTTTGCAACTGAGCTTGGAATTGAGAATTTCAAGGCATCTGAGGGTTGGCTGAGCCAGTGGAAACTGCGGCATAAGATCTACAACTACGGGCAAATCAGCGGAGAAGCTCGCGATGGTAAGGGATGATTGGCTAGAAAACGTGTGGCCTGGACTAAAGGCACGATATGCGTCAGACGACATTTTCAATGCTGATGAGACTGGATTCTTTTCTAAAATGACATTAAACACACACACACAAACCCACGTTACTTTAAAAACATAAAAAATCTACGGGTGACCTATAAAGCAAACACGAGTGTGTGGATGACTGCGGAAATTTTTGAAGAAACGATAATAAAGTGGGATAATAAAGAGCTTAAAGGGAAAACATTCTTCTGCTTGTGGACAATTGTCCTGCTCATCCTGTACTGTGCGACCTTTAAAACATTCAACTTTGTTTTCTTCCAAACACAACGAGTGTCCTTCAGCCCATGGACCAAAGTGTCATCAAGAGTTTGACAAGCCATTACACGAGAAGACTTTTGATGGAATTGGTTGAGAATAATGGCGATCTTAAACAAAACATTTTTGACGCCATCCTAATGGTTAGTAAATCTTGGGACGAGGTGACGAGCAATACAATAAAACATTTCCTTCAAACACGTAGGATGGTTGGAAGATCAAGGATTGACTGATGATGAAGATGACCTGCCATTAGATGTTTGGACCGTTTGAACTTACTACCACCTACGGACCGGAAGAGCTAAACAGATTTTGAAGAATACAGTGACCCGGAAGTGGAGGCAGAGCCAAAACCAGCTCCGAGCCCTCAGCAGGAAACCAACCTCACTCTCAAATTTCTATAAAGTAGCGGGTTTTGCAGAACCCTCAACACGCAGAGGCGTTGCAGAGCACATAGAGAAAATTAAACAGATCGCGGACGAGCGGCATGCCCTATACTAGGCCCAAACACCACGACAGCAACTAAAATCCAGGAAAAGATTCCTTGGAACAGTGCAGGATAAATCGCCTGAGTATATTTTTCTTCCCCAGGTTCAATGGACCGGCCAGTCCCTAGACTTTAAAACTTGGAAAACTATAAATAGGATAAGAACAGGGGGGTCGCCCAGTAAAATCAAACATGGTAAAATGGTGGAAAATAGACCAAGATAATGTGAACTGTGACTGTGGAGAAGCACAGAATATGGAACATCTTCTGACATGCAGAAACATGCAGAAATTTATGGCTCGCCAACAAAGATGGAACCGACGTAGACCGATAATGGGTCGAAATTTTATGAATGACATGAATGTCCGGACACGATAAAAAAAAGCAGGCATTGAATGCGGCAAAAGTACTGCATCGATTCTTCATCCACCAAGAAGACGATATGAGTGCTGTGGAAGATTCTATGTGTCTTTAGGACATGGTCAGGTCAGTTCTGTGGAAAGGGAAAAGGAAAAAGACCAAGGTCACAGACTTTTTTGGTAATGTAGGCTAAATATATTTTACAGTAGTGTATTATTTTGTTAATGTACAGTACACATGTTTTAATTGTACAGTCTTCTTCAATAAATCTATGTGGTGTACAATACAGTGTTAATTCATTTATATTCGTTTTGATAAATTTTTTAAATTAAAATAGGTTATTTAGGACAGTATTATTAATATTACAGTACCGAATTTTGTCTCTCTCTGTATAACGATCTCTCCTTATAACGATGAAAATTCCTGGTCCCTTGCATATCGTTATAGAGAGAGAGAGGACTGTAATTTCTATCCTTGTGCGATGGGTACTCACCGGAGGGACCGCAGACGTTCGGATACAATTAGCGTCTCTTAGCAAAGACAATGACGTCGACTTTGCTAAGTATCAAGACAATTACTCTACACACAGATACACACACTACACTAGGTACCTGACTATACCATGCCAATCATCTTAGGTTGTCGAGGCATTAACTCAACAATAAATAAATTCTAGGGTACATCAATGTAGATATAATGAATCTTCGTGAATATATTTACTAAGATAATTTCCATGTTTCATATGCTTTTTAGGATGGCAACTATGAAGAAGCATTAGAAAAATTCACTAGTGCTCTCCAAAATCAAGGATTTGTACCATCATTGGCGTACAACGCTGCTCTATGCTACTATAGACTTAAGGAATACGGGCCTTCTCTAAAATATTGTGGTAAGCATTTAGGGGTAAAAATTTCGGTCTTATTTTGTCTAAAAGTAACTTTGTCTTTACTCACTGGTTTAAGTATAAAATACTAAATATTTACAGATAATCAAATTTAGAAACATCTGATATACTCCAGTCGTAAGAGATGAAAATGCCACTGAACCTCTAAAAATCATACAAACAAGCTGAATTTTGCCAAGCATATTCATTCTGGGACCTCTTCTTCTTCTCGTGCCACTCCTAGCGGAGATTGGAAATCATCATGGCCACTGCGACTTTGTTAGCAGCGCGCCTAAAAAGTTCAATCGAACTACACCCGAACCATTCACGTAGATTACGAAGCCACGATATTTTTCTTCTTCCCACACTTCTTTTGCCCTTAATTTTGCCCTGCATGATGTTTCTTAAAAGTTCGTACTTTTCACCTCTCACAATGTGCCCCAAGTATTCCATCTTTCTAGTTTTTATCTCATTTAGAATTTCGCATCTTTTGTCGAAAGTTTGGGAGTACTTGCGTGTTAGTGACGCGGTCCATCCATGATATTCTGAAAATGCGCCTATAGCACCACATCTCGAAAGCTTCGATGTTTTTTATGGTCAACTGTTTTAGTGTCCAAGCCTCAACTCCATATAACAGGGTAAGAAAAGACATAACACCGCAGCATTCGTATTCGTAACTTTATATTGATATCACGATTGCAAAAGAGTTTGCGCATTATATTAAAGACTGATCTAGCGATTTCTATTCTACATCTAATCTCTTTTGTTTGATCAGTGTCGTCTGTAATCCAAGCACCTAGATATTTATAACAGGGCACACGCTCAATCGTTGTATTGTCTATTACAAGATTAGCTCTGATGTTCTTTGATTTCGTGATTACCATAAATTTAGTTTTTTTCAAATTAATTTTCAAGCCGTAACTGTTACAGTATATATTGAGACTTTGAACGAGATGTTGTAGTTCTACTAGCGTTCCCGTTAAGAGAACTGTATCGTCAGCATACCTTATATTGTTGATCGTCTCACCATTTATTATCAGACCAAGATCTTCTTCCTCGAGTGCTTGTTCACAGATAGCTTCACTATACAGATTAAATAAAAGTGGCGATAAGATACATCCCTGCCGGACTCCTCGACGGATTTGAATTTCTTCTGTTAGTCTGCCCTCAACCTTGACATTTGCTGTTTGATTTCAATATAGATTGCTCTGGGACCTCAAAAAGGTGCAAAAAAGTTTACCACTTTTGCCCCGGGCTTCCCCGCAATCCCCCCCTCGCAGGGGGGTAAAAAGGCAAAAAAATCGATTTACCAAGAATCTGTACAACGTACCAAAGAATGTTTCAAATAAAAAATGTTGCTGAGATAATTTTAAACAAAAATATTTATAAGCATTTTTTGTACAGAATAAACCATTCTCTTAGAAACAACGTTTGAAGCGACCGTCGTTTTTGCATGTCAGTTACGCGCGCAAAATCAACGTTCAATAAAATTTGTATCAGCTCGACAGTAAAAATTCGATATCTTTTGATTCAAGTGACCTATTGACAAAAATCAATATACGTTTTAAGGGTAAAAGTTTAGCTTTTGTTTAGAATTTATACATGTGTTTGGCACCTGTATAAATGTGGCACGACTTTCGCAAGTTTTAAAGGTTATGTTCTAGTAATCGAAACTGCATATGGGCCAGTCAATAAAAGGAATACATTGTATTGATCTCGTGAGAATCATAAAAAATGGCGAAAGTCGCGCTACGTTTATTTACTTAAGACCTGTATAAATTCTAAACGAAAGCTAAACTTTTACCTTTAAAACGCATCTTGATTTCGCGCGCGTAACTAACACGCAAAAAAGGAAGAACCATTTATAAATTGGTACGTACTGCCAACAACGTTTTAGTGGGGTTCCGGTCCGAGCAGCCGAGAAATCTGCTTCAATTAAATTAGCAAATCATATATTATAGACATACCGTTCAGAGTAAGTAATGGATGGCTCTAGCGCTTTCGGCACGGAATCGTGAAAAAAAGAATAATTGACGGCGAAGCGAAAACGTGCGAAGATTTCCGGACTATCAGTCTTATGAGTCATGCACTTACAATTTTTCTTAAATTCATACATGCCAGAATTTACAAGAAATGCGAAGAAAATGTCGGTGAAATGCAATTCGGATTCCGCAATTCCATGGGTACACGTGAGGCACTTTTCACCTTACAAGTCCTACTTCAGAGATGCCGCGATGTCAGTTGTGATGTCTATATTTGTATTATTGACTACACCAAGGTATTTGACCGTTGTCAGCACCAGAAGATGGTCACCGCACTACAAAGAGTAGGATTGGATGAGAAAAACATTCGGATCATCATGAATGTATACTGGAACCAGCGTGCTCAAGTCAAGGTCGAAGACCAGCTGACCGACCAAGTGAAGATCATGCGAGGAGTAAGGCAAGGATATGTGCTATCGCCGACTCCTTTCAATATATAGGTACTCTGAGGAGATTTTTAATGAAGCCCTCACAAACCTAGACATGGGAATCCGAGTGAACGATGAATACATCAATAATATCCGCTACACCGATGACTCTGTGTTACTAGCAACCAGCCTAAATGATCTGCAGGCCTTACTAGACCGAGTGCGAACTGTGAGCGTAACATACGGACTGAACCTCAATATTAAGAAAACTAAATTCATGGTTGTCAGCCGTGCAAATTTGGATCCCGGGGCACTAATCTCAGGTAGCGAAGATATCCAGAGAGTCGACAGATTCACTTACCTCGGAACTACCCTCAACGTACAATGGGATTACGCTCAAGAGATTAGATCCAGAATTGAAATGGCACAGTCTACATTTATTAAGTTGAGATCTTTGCTGTGCTGCAGTGATCTCAGTTTGGGAACCAAGATGCGGATAGTGAGGTGCTATGTTCTTCCAGTGTTACTATATGGAGTTGAAGCCTGGACACTGGACACGTGATGCGGAAACGAAGAAAAATATCGAATTCTTCAACTCGTTATGCAGGGTAAAGTATTTGGCAGAAGAGGACCGGGACGCCGTCTTATCTCGTGGTTGAAAAATCTCCGACAATGGTTTGGGATGACCTCAGAGGAGCTGTTACGCAGAGCAGTCAACAAAACCATGATAGCCTTGATGATCGCCAACATCCGGACCGAATAAGGCACTGAAGAAGAAGCTTCAATTGCACCAAAACAAGAAATAGAACCTTTTAGACAAAAATTAATAGAACATATAAGTAACGAAATGCTATTAGAATCTTAGATTTACAATGCTGATGAAACTGGTGTGTTATGGCGTACTTTGCCTGAAAGCATACAAGCCTTCAAATATGAAAAATCGAATTCTGGAAGGAAAATCAGCAAGGACAGGATCTCGGCACTGTTTTGTGCTAACGCAAAAATCTCGTAAACCTAGAGTTTTAAAAGACATAATTCATCATGTGCCCGTTTCATATTATAGCTCTAAGAAGGCATGGTTCACCTCAGATATTTTCAAAAATTGGTTTTTCAAAGAATTTATACCTTCAATGAAAAAAGTTCAAGAGAAGAAGTTAAGAAATATTTATTGCTTTTAGACAACGCTCTTGCTCACAAATATATAACATGGCTTATTCAACCCATGTAGGTATAAGAGAATAATTTTGGCAACCAAACAAATATATTGCAGAAAGTTTTTAGACAAAGTAATAGCTCTATTGCACGATGAAGACAATGCAGAAGATACAAGAGGGCAGCATACCTTGCAAAACTTGAGGCTTTACAATTTAAAATCAACAATTTTTAATTTTGCTGCAGCATGGAAGGAGGTGAAAGAGCAAACATTAAAAAATAGTTTGAAAGAATTTGTTTGATAGCCAAAATGGAGATATAAATTTAAAAGGGCTGAAGTTACTGATTTCTGTAGGATAATGCATAATAATATCGGAGAACATGTAACTGAGGAAGATGTTTTACAATAGCTAGAAGTATATAAAGGTGACCCTGGGTATAACAACATGACTGAAAGTGAAATGGCAATTGAAGTTATGAACCTAAAGATGAGGATGGTATTGAAGATAGCGAAGAAGATCACAAAACAACACTGACAAAAATGAGATTTCACGCTAAGGTACCCTTCTTAGCGACTTTTTTTTACACAAACAACAGAGGCAACGCTTAAAGGTAAATGACATAAAAGGAAATACAATGGGAAATACAACAACTAACGTCCTACCATTTCGGATTCACACAACACTGAAAAAGGCAGTTTAGATTTTTCGTTTGGTACGTTTGAATAATTCCCATAAAATCGATCTCATACTAAATAGAGAATAGAAGCAACGTTCTGGAGCAGTATAATTTTTTGTTGGGAGATGGCTTGAAATAAAAATGTTATGGCTTCTTGATACCGACATTGAAACATCCAGTGGCTAAGGTCGTCATAACTGCCATTACATTCACATATATCAGTTTCGGAAAGTTTTATTTTATATAGGTAAGCGTTTACTGTAGCATGTACAAAAAGGCACCTAACGTACATAGTATAAATTTTCCGAGAGATGGGGTTTCTCTCATTAAAGAGTAGATGAAAGACTTGGATATATATACTGCAATTAAGTCTAACATGTTTCTTCCTAGCTGAAACTAAATCCCATTTGGGCAACTCGTTGTATTTGATACCCACTAAAGTCTTTAGCCAAATGGTCTACTTGTTCATTGCCTGGAATATTAGAGTGACCTTTAACCCACACAAAGTTAACAATTCTTTTTAGAGAAGTTAAGATACTTAGCTTTTCAAGCACATCTACAATTAGTCTGTTGGTATATATGTGTTTATAGAAATGTCTTGATACAAGGAGAACAGACTGTGAGGAAAATGAAGTTATCATAGGTAAGATTGCATCTTGACGATCTAATAACATTTATTGATTATTCATCAGATAACGAAGTTAAATTGTATTCTACGAATTCTCGTAATTTTAGAGAGTTGATCATAAAAAACAGCAAACATCGAAAGTGCAAACGAAACTTGATTCCTTTTTTAAAACAGCATTACTAGCAGCAAATGCGTCGATATCAACAGCAACGTCACTTCACGACGAATATCCGAAGACAATTAACTAGAATTTTGTTTGTATTTTGTATTTTTTATATATACCTAAATACAGTGTACATACATATTTTCAAAAAAAAAGTTTTTTGATTTATTTTAAACCATGGACGTATAAACATAGATGGACACAGCAATAAGATACCTTTAACACACAATTTTTTTAAGCTTTGATAGAATGTGATGCTTCCGCAATGAGCGGAGCAATGATAAGCGTGCTTGAATTTTTACTCGCGGGTAATTATTCAGATTTTAAAAATTGGAAGTAGTAATAATGTATAAAAACACGTTCAAAGAATTAAAAAAAACGAAAGTTTAACTATTAACAAATCACGTCTTTATAGAAAAATTAAAATACAATTTTATTTGCTTTAAAATGAATACAATTAAATATAGTTGAATTCAAGTTAATTTTTTAATAGGTATTAAAATAATGCTACAATAAAAAATCTTTATGTTTTCTCCTAAATTTGCTACCCAAATAGTTCGATCGTCAATATTATTTGGAAACCTACATAGAAAAATAAATGAGTTTTATTCATTTCACTAATTTATTTGTATCCATAAGAAATATTAAATTAAAAAGGTACTAAACAGATCTTTTTTACAATTTAAAATACAATTTAAAATTTAAAAATGTCTACTAATTTCATGAACTCATATCTTATTCAATACATTAATGAACATGAATAAACCCAATGGTACGCCTATTAAAATGTAAACAAACACGCTTCCTCATTTCCTCATCTTAAATAATGTAAATTGTATGTACTTACAAATAAAATAAGAGATCAGGATGTAAATATTTCGTTTATTTTATTTCACTTTTCACAAATATCACCCAAAATACAGCTAAAATATCGAAAAACAACTCTTCCTCATCTACTGTAAAAAGTAAACAAACATGGAACAGCATTTGAAGTTTGACGTAGATCCATAAGACAGAGAAATGTAAACAACCGTTGCCATTTATAAATAGTTTTCAGTGTTTCTACATATAAAATAATTGATTTATATCTATTATACGCTATTATTAAATAATAATTGCACTATTTTGATTAAAATTAAATATATTAATCTAACCAATAAATTATTATTTTGGTTTGATAGCACCGGTAGAGTATAAAATACGGAGTAATATTTTCAGCGACTCGCAAATAAATTTTAAAACAAAACGTGACAACAGTTGAAGGAGCTGAGAATGTGACCTATTCAAATAATTTTGACTACACAATTTTATGTAAATAACTGAGTCCATCTCTGTTTATACGTCCATGTTTTAAACATATTTTTATATAAAACGGACTTTCGGCTTTAATGGAAGTTGCCTCCAAGTATTCCGTTATATCGAGTTTTTACTGTAATTTGATTAATTTTGGTTTAAAATGGTTAATGTGTATGTTAAATCGTATTTTTAGCTGATATAATAGAAAAAGGCATAAGAGATCATCCTGAACTTAGCATTGGAATGCAAACAGAAGGTATAGAAGTACGATCAGTAGGAAACACTCTAACATTGCACGAAACATCATTAACAGAAGCGTTCAATCTTAAGGCAGCCATCGAATACCAACTTAAAAATTGTAATAAAAATAAAAAAATTTGGTTTGCAAAATATTTAATCGTATCTGTTTTAGTCGATTCTGCTAAAGAGGCTTTAACAGATATGCCACCAAGAGCGGAATATGAGCTGGACGCTGTAACTCTTCATAATCAGGCGCTAATGAATTTTGACCAGAATCCTACTGAAGGGTTTGAAAAATTACAATTTTTACTTCAACAAAATCCATTTCCGCCGGAAACATTTGCTAATATTCTTTTATTATATTGCCAACACGAATGTTATGACTTGGCCGCAGACATTCTGGCTGAAAATGCTCATCTTACATATAAATATTTAACACCAGTGAGTATATAATCCTGATATAAATATTAATACAAGACATATAATTAAAAAAACTAAATTACTGGTTTGATTTGAAAAAGTTTGACACACTTTATTACTTAAACAATGAACTAAACTACAAAAAATATTCAAAAAGGCCACAATTGGCCTGAATACAGCACCGAAGTCTGTTAGGCTATTCATCGATCGCTGTACAGATCAAATCCTTAGGAAATTTGTTCACATCTTCCACTAATGCCTATTTTAATAACTTCATATTATACTTCATATGCTGATGTCTTTTACACACAAATTGACCACAATTTCTATTCGAGTGGATTAAAGTTTAGTCGGACTTATAATGATAAATTCAGATACATGATTTTCAAGCCACGGTTAAATGTTAAATGTCCCGTTACTAATCGAAAGTTTCTTCCACAGTAATTTTTTTCATATGTAACGAAGATTTCTTTATAACCCTCTTTACCGGTCAACAACACAAGATGTCTTGATTTTGTTTCCTATTTTGTTTTAATTTAACAGTAAGGCGTTGTCCTGTTTTTCGTTTGAAACCTTCAAGTTTCAGGTCTTGTTTGATATTATGACTGATGGTTCTCGGCGTGATATCCATTTCCTAAGCAATGACTTTTGTTTTCGAGCAGAATTTTGGTTAATTCTTAACCTAACAGCGTAGTAACATTCTGGCATACGACCCACGCGTGGCCGACCGGATCTTTTACGATCAGTTACTCATCCCGTATCCAAAAACGGCTTAAGGTTGATCTGCACCCCCCGAAAGACAAACTACGCATTCAAAAAATTTGAAAAGATTTGAGAAAGAATGTGTAATAACTATAAGTATTTTGACAAATTTTGAGCAAACTTTATGTTTTCGTTTTCGAAAAAAACCAAAAAAACTACTTTTTTCCAAGTATAAAGCAGGAAAACCAAATATACAATTTTGGTAATTTTCTTATAGCATAAAGATATAATTCTAATAAACACTTATGAAGTTTTTGAAAATTTTTGAATGTACAGTTTTGCCATAATACGAAAAAATAATACGTTCCGGTTTATAATAAAGCTATCGGTAACGAACCCGATAAAATTTTAATAACATGATAATATAATACTGTAAACTGGAAAATATTTGCAATAAAACGTGGACAATTTTTTCCTTAACATATATGAAAAATCTCGTTAAACAAGAATTATATTTTGAACTGCCGCCATCAAATTGTGTTGTAGAGAGGTGACTCCATCTGAATCATTGGTAATATTTATTATCGATAGATAGCATTACTTTAAACGAGAAGTCATACTAACAGGGTTGCCATATCAATTACTTTGTATAATACTTGGCAGATTACAACAAAATTTAATAAGATTGTTATCGGTTTGAATTTTGAACTGGCCATGCTGAAACTTACAGTATAGTAGATACTATAACTTTTGTTTTTAAAAGTACGATGTCATAATATTTACAACCTACAAGTAAATATATCTATAAAAAAATTATATAGTTTTTAAAAACCTATTTGGGCGTTTTTCATTAAGTATTTTAGTATTTATAAACAATAGTGTTCCTTGCATAACGTATGAGAGGAAATTTTTATATTAGTATTAGCATTAGTTTTTCTTAAAGAATTCACATTTGTCAACTTGTATTTTACATTTTTCTTCTCTTAATCTCTAAAAAATCTTCTTAAGATTTACCATGTGTTCTTCATGAAAGGTTGAAAATACAATAATATCGTCCATGTAGACTAGACATATTTCTCCTATAAGTCCTTTTAGTACGTTCTACATTACTCTCTGGAATGTTGAGGGTGCATTTTTGAGTCCGCATGGCATTCTCATGCGCGCCAACGGCAGATAAAGATGAGGCAACCAGCGAAGAATTCTACGAACAACTGGGAAGCCTGATGAAAATGACAAAAAAACATGAAGTAACAATAGTGATGGGAGATTTCAATGCAAAGGTTGGCAGAGGCAAGGTGAATGAGATCGTGGGAAACTTCGGCCTAGGGGAGAGAAACGATAGAGGTGATAGACTTATATGCTTCTGCCAGGAATATAACCTGCTGTTAAGTAATACACTCTTCAAGCTCCCCAAACGTCGACTTTACACATGGAAATCTCCCGCTGACTCACCTGACAACATCATTAGAAATCAGATAGATTATATAGCAGTACCAACAAGATATAAAAACATGATAAAATCATCAAAAACGTACCCCGGTGCCGATGTTCCTACGGACCACAATGTGTTGGTATGCAGAATGGTCATGAGAGTAAAACGGCTCGAGAAAAGATCTAATTTAAACACAATCGATATTAAAAAACTCACTAGCCCAGAAACCGAAATAAAAGTACGAGAACAACTAGGAAAGAAAATAAAGGACATTAACGAGAACACGTCGGACATAATAGAGAGATGGGATAAATCGAGGGAAGCAATCCAAACAACATGCGCGACTCTATTAAAGCGAGACCGACGAAAAAAGAAAGAATGGATGTCTGATGAGATAATGGGTATGATGGATGAAAGACGTAAATTCAAGAATAAAAATGCAGAAAAATACCAGCAGATCCACAAAACCATAAGAACGAAAATTCGAGAAGCCAAAGAAAAATGGTTTTCCAACGAATGCAGGGAAATAGAACAATACGAACGAAAATACGACAGTTACAATATGCACAAAAAAATAAAATCGATGACAAACAAAAGGAAATTCAATAAGTCACCCAACAGCATAAAAGATAGCGATGGAAATCTTATCTCGGAGCCATCAACGATCTTAAAAACATGGAAATCATACATAGAAAAATTATTTGCATCTAACAGTACTGATGATCACCTATATGGAGAAGGAGAAACAGGACCTTCAATTCTTAAATCGGAGATAGAAGATGCCATTGCAGCACTAAAAAACAATAAGTCAGCAGGTCCGGACAATGTACCCTGCGAAATATTAAAGATCCTATGTAAATCAGACAAACAGTTCCTTGACAATCTAGTTGTACTTTTTAACAACATATATAATAGCGGTAAAATCCCGGAGAACTGGCTACAGTCAACATTTATTACAATCCCGAAGAAACCAAATGCCCAGATTTGTGATGACTACCGGCTCATAAGCTTGATCAATCATGTCACTAAAGCGTTCACTAAGATCATTCACAGAAGAATATATGATAAATGTGAGTCAAATATTGATAGATCGCAGTTTGGTTTTCGGAAAGCACTTGGAACTAGAGAAGCAATTTTCGCTCTCCAGGTGCTTATACAACGGTGTAGAGACGTTGATAAAGACGTGTATCTGTGCTTTGTAGATTTTAGAAAAGCATTTGACAATGTCAATCATGAACAATTGATAGGTATTCTGCGAAAGACAGGTATTGACGACAAGGACATTCGAATTGTGGCAAACCTATACTGGGGTCAAACAGCAAGAGCAAAAATTGGCAACGAACTCACTGAAAGCGTGCAGATCAAAAGGGGTGTCCGTCAGGGGTGTATATTATCCCCACTCCTATTCAATATGTATTCCGAGGAAATATTTAACAAATGTATGGAAAATGCAAATGAGGGCATTAAAATAAACGGCGAGTTAACGAACAATATAAGATACGCCGACGACACGGTGATCCTTGCCAGTACCATAGACGAATTACAACAAGTAATGGAAAGACTTTATTCAGTTAGTGAGGAATACGGCCTGAGCCTCAACTTCAAGAAGACAAAGTGGATGCTGATAAGCAAAAAGCAACAACCTGCTCGACAATTACGGATAAGTAACATATTAATTGACCATGTAGAATCTTATGTGTACCTTGGCACCAACGTAAATGCAAAATGGGAACAGACCATAGAAATTAAGGCGAGAATAGAACGAGCTAGAGCAGCATTTAGCAATATGAAAAAGCTCCTCATAAGCAAGGATTTGTCTCTTCCCCTAAAACTACGTATAGTTAAATGCTACATTTTTCCGATCTTGCTGTATGGCGTGGAGGCCTGGACGCTGACGGAGACGCTAACGAGAAAACTAGAAGCATTCGAAATGTGGGTGTACCGACGCATTCTTCGTATATCCTGGACCAAACATGTCACCAACATAGAGGTACTCCAAAGAATCGGAAAGGAGAAAGAAATCGTGAATACAATTAAACAAAGAAAGCTTGAATATCTAGGCCACATATTGAGACACGATAAGTACCGTCTGCTACAATTGATTGTCCAGGGAAAAATAGACAGTAAGCGAGGGCCAGGCAGGAGAAGACACTCGTGGCTCCAAAATCTGCGGAAGTGGTTCGGGCTCACATCGGTCGAACTATTCAGAAGCGCCGCAAACAAGATCAAAATTGCCATGTTAATAGCCAACGTTCGCAACGGACAGGGCACTTGAAGAAGATGGCATTCTCAGCTATTCATAGTGGTCATTTTCAACGTGAAATGCCGTCTTCTGGATATCTTTTTCGGCCATTTCAATTTGATGGAATCTGCTGGTTAGATCTAGGGTGGAAAAATATTGGCAGCGTTCTAATTTGTCCAGAATGTCTGTTATATTTGGTACAAATTCTGGTCTATTATATTTGGAATAATTTTTTGGTAAAAGCTTCTTTTATTCTTTAAGTTTCTTTTCTCTTTTCTTTACAATTAGTGGGAGAGACCCTCCCTCTATAGGTATAATTGCTATAATAGTCAAATAAGTCTCTAATCTCTCTCTTCAATCCTGACCCCCCAGGGGGAGTGTAGTGGTCGACGTGATGTCGTGTATGGTCCGTCTCCAGAGATCTTTGTCTCTGGTCATTTCTTTTAATTCATGCATAGGTCTGTGGCATATTCCTGTAATTTGATCTATCCATCTTGTTGGGGATCTTCCTCGTGATCTTCGGCCTTCTACCTTTCTTTGTATTATGAGTCTTTCCATGTTTTCTGTGTTTGCTCTCATAACATGCCCAAAATATTTTAATTGTTGGAGATGGACTTTACTAGAGAGTCGTTGGCTAACTTTTAGCTCTCTTAAAATTGAATTATTTGTTTCTGCGGTCGGTCCAAGGAATTCGTAACATTCGTCTCCAACAGAACATTTCAGTGGCGTCTATCTTTCTTCTCTCCGATTGTCTCAGAGTCCAAGATTCACATCCGTAGGTCAGTATTGGGAATATTAAGCAGTTGATCAACCTCATCTTTATCGATCTTGAAATTTGACAGTCCTTCCAAATTTGGGTCATTTTGGCTGTGGCAACTTTAATATGGAATTACAAACTAGCGCTCTATGTCTAGATATTTAGTTAGCAATTAAAATATTTTTTAAATAAATTTTAGTATATGTATGAATTTTTGGACGCTCTAATAACTCAACAAACCTCACCAACAGACGCCTACCAAAAATTGGACGAGTTAGCAAGTCGTCACACAGAGCAACTCAGAAAACTGACAAAGCAAGTACAGGAACATAGAAATAGAAACGATACGGAGTTGATAAAAAAAACTGTTATGGATTATGAAGAATGCTTGGAAAGGTAAAGGTTCACTTTTGTTTCGTAGAATGTATTAGTTAATAAGTTACAATGATATAAATTAGTTACAGTTTATTCCCAGGATACCAGTAGTAATATTACATTTAAACACTTTTTCTAGTAACTTATTTTGTCTTTTTTATTTTAAGGTATATACCTGTATTAATGGCTCAAGCTAAAATTTATTGGGATTTAAAAAATTATCCGCAAGTAGAAAAAATATTTCGCAAAAGCGCCGAATTCTGTAACGAGAATGATATTTGGAGACTTAATGTAGCTCACGTTCTCTTCATGGAAGAAAATAAATTTAAGGAAGCTACCGGATTTTATGAACCGTTGGTTAAAAAGAACTACGCAGATGTAAGTATTTTCTAAATGCAAGATATTACTATAATATATTATGTGCAACTAATGTACAAAACTAATCAAATACGCATATATATATATATATATATATATATATATATATATATATATATATATATATATATATATATATATATATAGTTCAGCTCAACAGGCCTCAAAGGCCCAAGGCTCTAACGGTTTTCTTCCAGCCATTTTCTTCGGGGGCGGCCTCTTTTTCTTTTTGTACCAGCCTCCGTGTTTATTAATTCATTGGGAACTCTTCCTTCCTTCATTCTTGCTATATGTCCGAGCCATCTTAATCTTTGAATTTTAGCGAGTCTTGTTATTTTTGGTTGCCCATATATTTGCATTATTTCTTTATTCGTTCTTCTTCGCCAGATGTTCCCCTCTTTTACACCTCCGTATATCCTTCTAAGAATTTTTCGTTCCCATCTATCTAATTTTACTTCCACATCTTTATTTAGTGTCCAGGTCTCGCTAGCATAGAGTATTGTAGGTCGGATAACTGTTGTATATATTCGTTTTTTTTTTTTGCTGTTCTGGATATTATCTTCGCCCTCAGATGATTCGACTGTCCTAGATGATTTTCGTTTCCCCTCATCACCATATATTTTGTTTTTTCTTCGTTTAGTTCTAAACCATATTCCCTGGTTATTCTCTCTATTCTAGTAAAGATTTCTCTTAATTCTGCAGGTCTCCTTGTTATTAAGGTAACATCATCTGCTATGCATTGATGCCTGTGATGATATATTGTGCCTCTATTGAAGATGTTACATTCTCGTAAAATCTTCTCTAAGATCAAATTGAAAAAATCTGTTGATAACGGGTCACCTTGTCGCAGATCTCTATTGGTGATAAAGCTATAGATCAACAGTAAACCAAATAGATCATTTACTAATAGAAGCCAAACATATGAGAGCCATAAAAGATAGCCGAAGTTACAGAGGTGCTGATGCAAATTCGGGCCACTTTTTGGTCAAAGTTAAAATGGAGCAAATAATACCCACAATTAATAACACTAGTTGTAAAAAAATAAAAAGATATAACGGTGCACTACTTCAGGAGGGAGAAGTATTCAGGCAGCAAATTGAAGAGAAACTGATGTATATAAATATTATGTATATATGCGATTAAGCCACAACTAATTATAATGAAAATTACATTTGTGCTAAAAAGTATTACCAACAAGTTGTTAGTAGGTTATAACCTAAAAATGCTAAAAGATTAGTAATCCTTTAAGGAATTTGGAGTTATCTTCTGGGCGCCACTGACGCAACTTTCCAAATTAAGAAATTAGTATATACCTAATTCATAATAAAAATAATCACTGGTCACTAGTAATAATTTTAATCATAAATAGACCCAAAACATTTTGTTGTAAATATGTAAAGTCATAATTAACCATTTTTCTTTCAGATATTAAGCATAAATCCCATAATACTAGCAAATCTGTGCGTTTCTTATATAATGACCTCACAAAATGAAGCAGCAGAAGACTTGATGAGGAAAATTGAAAAGGAAGAGGATACAATCGGTTTTGAAGAACCTGAAAAAAAGTGTTTTCATCATTGCATTGTCAACCTAGTTATAGGGTAATAGAAAATTTGACTTAGATATTTATAAGGAGTCATTTCATCAGTTTTTTTTGTAATTTCAATAAGCGCCTGTCAATCCAGATTTAAACGTATCCAGTAAATGGCACCGGTATCACTGGCATGCCAGTGCTTCACTAGGACAGCGTTGGACAGGCACGTTTACACGTATCCAGTATCCAGCGCCAGTCTCACTGGCATGCCAGTTCCTACTTTATAGAGTAAGGCGAGTTTATACACGCATAGATTTGCTGGCGCCAGTAAGTGTTGGCGAACAAGTAAAATAAAATCCATGCGTGTATAAAGTCGCTTAAGTCGCCTTATTGTCAGTATTTTTTACTTTTGCAAAAATGTAGGTATGCCACTACCATACCAGCGCTGTCGTGCCAGTGTGATAGCCGCTAGTTACTGGATACGTGAAAACCTGCCCTCATGTGGGCGTACCAGATATTCACGAAGTTCTACTATTATTTTTATGGTATTTAGTTTATATAGTAATTAAGTTTACTAGCAAATGATATTTATTTATATTTTATTATTACATTTAATATTTAGTCTAAATTTGACAGATCTGTCAGAAGTAAACAACATATGCTTTGTTAATCTGTTGGCAGTTGGCGTTAAAACAAACATAATAATTTATTTAATTATTTGAATGCAATACAATTTGTTTAAAATATAAATAATAAATAAATAATAAAATTACTTTATTAAATTTTAGGTACATACACTTCATCTAATTTATATAACGATGCACGTCATCGGCGTCATAGCCTGTGACGTCACATGATACCAATACAAAATATTTAGGATGTAGGTGTGTTCTTTTTTAGAATCACTTTACTAAGTACACTGGCACTGCAGCCACTAGACATATTTTATTATATACGCGTAGAAATAATATTTAAAAATTTCTATTAATGTTAACTTAAAGAAATACACAATAATATGTTTCATTTAATTTGTATAAATGCATTATAAAGCGTATTTATCAAGAACATTTGTTCGGAACACACTGTAACTGTAATCGAACAAAGCTAAAATTTTGGCATAAATTGGTAACACTTATTTGACAGTTGCGGTGTTGACACTTTTTGTAATTCATTATTTTGAATTTTAAAGTGAATATCTCTTGTTTTATATTTTTAACTATTTAATAAAATCTGTTCTTTTTAGAACAAAATTAGTGTGTTTTATTTCAAAAATGTCACGTAAGAATTTAAATAGTCGTTGTAAAGAGATGGTAATACTTTTGCAATAATTATGTAATCTATTTGATTTTAAATGGAGTCAGGATTTTTTTATACTTTGGCAACTATGTCAACTTCGATCTCTGACGTAGATAATGACGTAAGTCGTTATCTAAATTAGATGAAGTATAGTATGAAGCTACTGTACCATCTTTTTATTTCAATATTCACTGATTCCCAAAAGCTTTCAGAGCAACCTTTTTTATCATTCTTCTACATACACATTATGACCAAGATTTCAGAACATCAGGACTCCAGAATTTCTGAACCAAACCATATTTCCAATTGACAGGTTGTCTGGCTTCTTTTTGATTATCACAGAGCAACAGAGCTTAGCTTTTTCATATATCGCATATATCTACTGAATCCAATAATCAAATTTCCGTCGTGTTTTAGAGATATTAGAAGTGCTTTTTTGTGCTGCAGTAATTTTTCAACTTTCTATGAAAATTTTTAACGTCATGCAGAGTATGCCCACTTCTTAACATTTGGCAATTACCTAGTTTTCTTACTTACTTTGTTGTGTCCGGACATGTCATTCATAAAATTTCGGCCCAGTATCGGGCTACGTCGGCTCCATCTTTGTTGGCGAGCCACAAATCGATGAGAACAGTTTCTGCATGTAAGAAGATGTTCCATATTCTGTGTTTCTCCACAGTCATAGTTCACATCATCTTGGTCGATTTTTCCCCATTTTGCCATGCTTGATTTTACTGGAGCGCCCCCAGTTCTTATCCTATTCATAGTTTTCCACGTAATTTAAAGTCTAGGGACTGGCCGGTCCATTGAACCTGGAGAAGAGGAAAATACTCAGGCAGTTCATCCTGCAATGTTCCAAGGAAGCTTTTCCTAGATTTTAGTCACTTTCGTGGTGTTCGAGCTTTGTATAGGCAGGGCATGCCGCTCGTCCGTAATATGTTTAATTTTCTCTATGTGTTCTGCCAACGCCTCTGCGTGACTTGGTTTGCTGTAACCTTGCAAGGTGGTTTATGTTCTTTTGGATCACATAAGATTTTTTTACAAGGTTCCATGCTATTTTGCTACTATGTGTCATGTCGATTTTTTCCAGAGTCTCAATCCACTTTTCCTGTCTGGCTTGACTTAGCTGTTGGAGTAGTACTGCTCCGCAGTCAACCGTTTCTTGGCTAAAAAGGTCAGTGGAATAGAGGGTTTCGTATGTTTTCTCTAGCTTTATCTGATTTTGCCTCTACATTTATCAACCTTATACAGGATGTTACAACAAGATTGCTCATAAATTATATTAAGAAATTTTGGGATGAAAAGTCGATTTGGCCTAACTTACCTGTATGCAAAAGTACGCCAAAAAAACTTATAGAGTGTTAAAGTTACAAAATAAAACCAAATTTTTTAATATTGCTACAAAACGGTTTAAAATTTGTTTATAAAAATCTGTGTTAGCCTTCCATGGCAAATAAAACCGAAGTAGTGAATCAATCAGAGGAATCGTCATCACACTACAAGATTTGTGTACATTTTTAACTAATCAGATATGAATATTATACTTTATCCTATTATTTATTTTTAGGACCCTTTATTGTTCTAAAGGAAATTATGAATTTGGAATATCAAGAGTGATAAAATCTCTAGAACCGTACGATAAAAAACTAGGCACCGATACATGGTATTATGTTAAGATTTGTTTTTGCAGTCTGATCGAAAATCTTGCCAAACATATGATTGTTTTAAAAGATAGTATTATTGAAGAATGCATTAATTTTTTGGAAAGTTGTGAATGTAAGTAATATTTTATATATAAACGTAATTGAAAATAAAAAATTGTAACACATTTATTCCATCGTAGTGAAAATTGAATAGTGTTCATACAGCTGATTTTTTCTCAGATCTGATATACTTAGTATAACTTTATATTTACATAAGATTATAGTTAGTCTAACATATCCCACCAAAAATACAGCCCTGAATTAATTATTCTTAAAGTCAAGAACGGTTCTTAATGCAGGTGCAAATTTTCTATGCGAACTTTAATAATATCAAACTGCAATGACCTTCACTATTTGTATTCTATGTAGAGGTACTAAAAGTAGGCAATTCTATGTAGAGGTAATAAAACAACAATAAACCCCCAATGGAACATTGACGAAATACACAATACAGCGAAACAACAAAACTATAGAGAACAACTTGAACTCTGAAAGAGAATACAATGATATCAAACAGCTATGGGAAACGACTGCCGAAATAATAACCAAGACAGCGGACAAGATCTTTGGGAGGAGTAGGCAGAAGAGGGCAAAAAACATGGTATGACGAGGAATGTCGGAAACAGCTGAAAAAAGACAAACAGTAAGGAAGACTTGGATACAACTGCAAACAGACCAAAGTAAAAAGGAATATGATGACTACCGAAAATAAACAAGAAAAATAATAGAAACAAAGAAAAGAAACCATGAACAACAAAAATATGAAGCTATGGAGAGAGACCGGTCCAAACCGGGCTCCAGAGAATTTTATAAAGCAATTTACTCTGAGAAAAGAGAACATAGAACTAATTCCATCCATACACTAAGAGACAATCAAGGCCGTATGATAATCGACGGTAAAGAAGTAACTGAAGAATGGAAAAAGTAGTTTAGGGACCTTCTAAACATCATACAGGAAGAACAGCACAAGGAAGAGATCTATATCACAGCGAACATGCTCGTCAAAAATCCCTCCTTTGAAGAAACCCAAAAGACCTTAAATAAGGTGAAAAATCACAAAGCGCCGGGTACGGACGAGATACCAGCAGAACTTCTGAAATATGGGGGAGACACACTCCATCGCCAAATCCACCAGCTTCTTCTTCTTAAGGTGCCGTGTATTTCTGCGTAGGCGTCCACCGTACATCGTCTTGTCAGGTAATAACCCACATATGATTAGAAGAAAGGATACCAGCACGATGAAGGGAAAACATAATAGTGCCCATCGACAAAAAAGGGGACAAAACGAAATGCGCGAATTATAGAGGAATCTCACTCCTAAACACAGCATATAAAACCCTCTCAAACATCATTCTTAGCAGACTAATCCCTTATGCTGAAAATGTCCTAGGCGAATATCAAGCCGGTTTTTAGGGCAAACAGATCAACAATAGATCAACTATTAACGCTGAGAACAACTTCTAAAAAAGGAATGGGAGTATAACAGACCCATACACAATCTTTTCATAGACTTTCGACAGGCATACGATAGCGTAGAAAGAAGCCAAGTATGGAATGACATGGCGGAGTTCTCAATACCAAAGAAACTCATTCGGATGACCAAAGTCTGTATGGAGGGTGCACTATCTAAAGTACGTGTAAATAATAAACTGTCTGGCAGCTTTGAAATCAACAGTGGACTGGGGGTGATGCGATATCTCCACTACTTTTTAACCTTGTATAAGAGAAAAACCATGAGGTCGGCCGAAATAAAAACAGAATTGCTATCGGTTCAAGATCCCAAGCTGTTACTCGCATATGCAGATGACATAGATCTCGTTGGAGACTCCATCCTATCCACAAAAGACATTTTAAAAAAGGTGGAAGGAGCAACAAGTGAAGTACAGTTGAAGATTAATGAAGAGAAGACGAAATATATGCGTATAAATAGAACGACACGAAGAGACAGAATAGAACAAAATGTGACGGTCAACACCTTCAATTTCGAAAGAGTACAACGTTTTAAGTATCTCGGGGCCGTAATCACAGCTAATAACGATGTCACTAAAGAAATAAACGTCAGAATCCAATCTGCAAACCGCTGTCTATTCGCACTGGATAAGCTCATAAAATCAAAAAATCTCACAAGAACTTCAAAGAAAATGTTTTTTCTTTCGGACCTCACCATTATATCACCACAAAAAAGCACTCTACAACAACGCCGATATAGTCCAAGAAATTAAATCACAGCAACTAAGATGGGCAGGCCACGTGCACAGACTGCATAGCGGGAGACTTTTAAAACTGATATGGGAGGAGATTCCCACAGGCAAAATACCACTCAGATGTCCCAGAATGCGATGGAGAGATAACATCCAAGCAGATCTCCGGAAAATGAACATTCCATTTGACCCTAGGTTGATGGAAGAGCGAACAAATTGGGTAAAAGTTGTACAGTCAGCCAAGACTCACAGTCAGGGTTGTAGCGCTACGTGATGATAATGATGATGATGATGTAGAGGTACTAAACGTATTCTATAAGTAAGCGGTTCTTTACGCTATTTCTCAATAGATGACGGATAACATACGCATTTAAATATTTTTAAAGCTCATGATTTCCATTTACCCCAAATTTTCACCTACCCCGGTGTAACTTAATTATTTTAAAATGATGAAAAAATTTTTGCTGTGGGTCCATACTTATTAATATTAATTAGTTTGAAGTTATACTTTACTAACTCTCGCAGTAAGTCTACTAATTGGCTGCTAACTTACGCAAATACGATTTATTTATTCATTTTTTAGTTTATGGAAAGACTGTCAGAACAGTGGTATATAATTCTTTCTTAGAAGCTAACGAAGTACCCAATGGAAAAGAGACTGTTACATATGAAGCCAGAAAAATAAAATGCCTCCTAATTCGATTATTCAATGTGGAATCATAATGAATATTCATAAATATTCAATGATTGAAAGAAATATTTTTCTGCTCTGTATATGTAGATACAAATTATAGCAAGTAGTGTTTGATATAAATTAGAATGAGATACGTTTAAATAAATAGGTATATAATAGATCAATTTTTTCTTAAAGGGCCATCCCCACCACGGAAATTGACAATCATCATAGCCACTCTAACTTTCGAAGCAACTGCTTTAAAGAGTTTTTGAGCTGCAACCATATCCTTCTCTAATATTTGTCAAAGTATTCATCTTCTTCTTACACTCATTTTGTCCTCTATTTTGTCTTGGATTATGAGCCGCAAGATGCTGTACTTTTTGCCGAGATATTGCAGTTTTCTTTTTTTTTTGGTCCTTTCAACTTCTTTTACTTTATTTGTTGTTCTAAACACTGCAACGCTCGTAAGGTGATCCCCCCGTGAGATCTTTAGAATCCTATCTGTCCACATGTTAAATTAATTACATAAGTCTTCTTATCCCCTCCATATTAAGCGTCCACGATTCGACTGCATAGTACAGGACTCTGTATGTAAGATTAAATAATCATATTTTTAGAGCTATTTTAAATGTCAAATTTCTGCTATAAAGAACCTTGTTGTATTCAACTTTTCGTAAAAGGCGTTCTTAAGAACCTAAAGAAATAAAAATGAGTATGGCATTTAATTGCTCTCATTTTTACAGATGTCTTGTGACTCGTAGATACGCAACTAAATGCAAAAACTTCAAATGTGTTTTCAAATTTCTATGTCCCAGCTCCATCTAATTGAAAGTTATCGCACAACATTTGGACCATATCTAATTTCTTGCTCAAACTGTTCGGCATTCAAATTCCCGTCAATACTTCACAGTATTTATTAAACACCGAATATGCACTAACCTCTCCTTTTTTCTTCGGCCTTTTTAATCTTTAACTTCTCCTTTTTTCATTAAATTTAATGAAAATTGCATAAAGAATAATACAAAATGCAAAATATAATCCATAATACAGTGCGTTAAGTTTTTGATTAGGTATTGCACACTATACTTAGCGCTAAAATCGGCAACGTTGCAAATGTTCGTTCTCCGACCCGAAAATCTACACCGACAGAAAATCATTTATTTTAGTCATAGATAAGAAGGTTAGGTTAGGTTAGGTTATTTTAGTTTAGTAACTCACAACAACGTTGGGGATGTACTTCTCTGTCGTCCGATTTCATGTTTCATTACGTAAAGCCGATTTTAATAGTAGGAAATTCGATAAAAATGCACTGACCTAATCGATTAGATGCATTGTTATCGATTTTTATTAATGTGAAAATTTTTTTGTGGTTGAATTAAAATAAAAGCGTATTTCTTTAAAAAGATAAAATAAAAAATATACTCTTATTGAAAATTAAAATATTATTCCTAATAAAATAAAAAATAATTCTTTATGACCTACAGAAATGGTTCAAATAGTTGACCTTCTACGGCTGAACAGTACCCCAATCTGTCATAAAAACTTCTGCGAACAGATGAAAGAGTTTCTGCTGTAACAGAATTGGAGACTTCTCTTATTCGATTTTTTAATTCATCCAAATTTTGGGCTCTAGCCTCAGGATGAGCGTAGATAATGCTTTTTAAATGTCAAAAAAAAAAGAAGTCCATGGGTGTAAGATCTGGAGATCGCGCAGGTCACTTAATATCGCCTGTTCCACTGATACTCGATGCGGGAAAGTATTGTTTAAATACTCCCTAATAATTCGAGCGTTGTGAACTGAACAGCCGTCTTGATGAAACCAAACATTCTCCAGATTTACATCAGGAAGATTGAGAATAGCGGGAAGAACATGATTCTGTAACAAATCGAGGTATACTCTACTATTCAAGTTGGCCTCAATACAAAATGGACCTATTATGTGATCTCCTAAAATGCCAGTCCAGACGTTAACTTTTTGAGGACGTTGAGTTCGGTAAACAACACTTCTGTGCTGGTTTTCCCGCGCCCAATACCTCGTAATGGAAGAATTGTGTCTCCCTACAACGAAACAGAAGATTCATCAGTGAATAAAATGTTTTTAATAAAATTTGGTTTACTATTAGCCTTCGTTATTAGAGTTTCACAAAACGCCATTCTTCGAAAGTAATCGTCTGGATAAAGCTGCTGCGTTTTCGAATATTTAAAATTCTTGTAACCGTGCTTTTTCAATACTTTCGTTACAGTAACATTGCTAACATCTAACTCTCTAGCAACGCTTCTACTTGAACGTGTTGAATCTACCTCGATTGTTGCACAAATTTGTGTATCCCGGTATTCTCTTTCCTCAACTTTTCTGGTAACACTTCTTGAGCGTGACATTTTCTGCAATTTTTGAGGCAATAACGTATGTAGTATTCATAAAAAATTTTAGAGTAACTTGGAAAAGTTTTTCGATTATTTTTTCAGTCATTATTGAATATTTTTAAAAGTTTCCAAAATAGCAATTAAAACATCCACTTCCAATAAAATATAGATAATAAATACACAATATAAAGATATAGTAATCATATTTTTTATTTAAAATATAAATTTGTTATTAATACTTAGTGATGCATATAATTGTAATTTAGGTTCCAAAATATCCTGAAAGACTAGACATATGGATCAAACTTGTTAACAGAGGAATATGGAAACCAAATAAATATAGTGTTTTACGTTCAATTTTTTTTTTTAATAATAACTTTTCTAACTTTGTTAATTTGATTAAATATTCTAAATAAATTTGTATAGTAGTTTTAATATTATTCAGTCTGGCCCTGATCCCACCGCCATATTGGTATGATCGTTAGCCACACCTACTGACGCTGTTTTTAATATACATGTCAATATGCTCATAGCTTCTCCATAGATTCTAACTCGATGAATTACTCTCATTTTTACGAAATGTCTCGTGACTCGTACATACGCAACTAAATGCAAAAACTTCAAATGTGTTATAAATAAAACACCAGTAATAAATAATAAATATCTTTATAAAACTATAAATTGAGCTTAAATTACATTTAACCTCTCCAGGCTCCATCTAATTCGGGGTTATCGCACAACATTTGGGCCATATCTAATTTCTCGCTCAAACTGTTCAGCCTTCAAAGTCCCGTCAATACTTTTACAGTCTTTATTAAAACCGAATATGCACTAACCTCTCCTTTTTTCTTCGGTCTTGTCCTAGTATTCATGTACATTGCCACTAAACATGAGACTAAAAAGAAAACCGTTCCGAACTGAAGTTTAATGAAAATTGCATAAAGAATAATCCAAAATGCAAAACATAATCCATAATATAAGAACTGAACTAGAGAGCAGCAATGTATAGTGTCATCTACTACTTCTTCAGTTTCTTCCGAGCTAGTAACAATATCCGAATCTATATCTTTGATCAGATTTTCAGTGAGTTCCTGAAACACAATATTTTATTAAAATATCTTTGATGCCAAAATTATATAGTTTCAAAGAATAATAATTAAATAATATCATAACGTATTTTGAAGTTATGCTTTATTTAAAAATTAAAAAGAAAATTTTGAAACATCACCGGTTTTAAACAAGAGGATTAAAGTTAAATTCAGGGAACAAGAAATCAATTTTATTTGAGGTTAAGCCGCCCATTTTTCTTTTTTGCTTTATTTCTTCCTTTATGTTTACTTTCAATATTTGTAAAAAAGAACTATCCTATTATATTATTATACGAATCGAATTAATATATGCTACGGGTACGTGTGCTTGGTTGTATAGTAACTTCCAACCACTTGCCAAGTCAAAATTTCTTCAACATGAATAATCAGTAAACAGAGTTTATTAACAAAATATTAAGTTTCATTAAAATAAAACAGTTTAGTTGTCACGTTGTCAAGTACTTAAACAAGAAAGGTAAAATTTCGAATCTTGTTTTAAAAAATGAATATGCTTATCTCCTGGTTATATTCGTAATCACTAAAAAAAATATCTGCAAGTACAAATTTAAAAATTTTCAAAATTATTTCACCTGTTCCGTTTCTTCCTGTTGTGGTTTGTTTTTAAGCTTATTTTTACGATATTCTTCCAGTTTTTTAGCAATATCACTCATATTTTGTTATTTACGGATAGAACAAATTATTTACATCAACAAATTCATAACTGTATGTTAAATGTTAATGTCATTATGTGTCAAATCGAAATGTCTACACAGCCAATGGAACGGACGTCTTCGAATTTATTTACTGTTAGATGAAAATAAATTCAAGTAATAAACCAAAATTAAATCTTACTAATAAAACTTAATAATTTATTGTTCATATATCAATTAGTGTCCACAGATTAAACAAATTTTGATGAAAAGTTAACATCAAATTAGAGAATAACAAAAAATGCCTAAAAGGTTATTGATATACAAAAGTAAATAATGCTATCAGCTGACAGTATTGACAGCTGTCTTCTTAATAAAAATAAAAGTTGATAAAAGTGAGGGTGAGACTTGGATTTTGTTTATAAGTTTACTCAAGAATTATTAAAATTAGTGAGTAATGGGCAGTACAGCCAAAGCTATAGTGACTGGTTTTATATGTAGACTCTGTTCAGAGCAGAAAAAAGTTGTAGTCCATCTATACACTGAGAGGGCCAGAAAATTAGATTTACTAAAGAAACTTGAATACTTACCAATTACAGTAAGTACATTTTTGTATTTAATACACTTTCACTACATTTCGTTTTTGAAAATAAAAAGGATCTTTTAATGTATGTTTCAAAAGATGCAAGGATTTGACCTTTAATGATAATCAATGCTGATGATCAAATAACTTATATGCATTTTTAATTACATGGTTTCCATTATTTTCTTGTATGTATTATTTATTATATGTAATTTGTGATATTATTGTGTGATGATATGTATTTTCTTGTATGTAATAGTTATTATATTTAAATGGTTATTTTATTAGTTTAAGTTTAAAAGTTTAGTTAATTATGCTAATCTTCTATTTCTATATAAAAAATTGAAGGTACTAATAAGTGGTCCAAGATTTAATGAGATTTTAATTTGTCACTAAAAATAAGTACCACAAATAATGTTTGCATAAATTTCATGTACTTATCATTAATAAAAAGAAAATATTTGCTTTCTAATTTTCTATTATTTCTTTATATTTCAGCTCAAAAAATACGACAATTTGCCAAAAACAATATGTTTACAATGCATCCTAAGGTTAGAGGTTCAATATAATCTTGTACACAAAATTAGATCATCAAAGGCAGTAATCAAAACTCATAGAATGTACCATGTAAGTACTTAGTTATTTAATTTTAGAGGACAATAAATGCTCTAAATCAACTGATAGTTTTCAAGGACTTCTAGATGAACTTATAAGTAATTTCATATTTATGTGTATTATTCAAACAGTAATTTAAAATGAAAAACATGCTACTTGATGTCAGAAATAAATACTATTGGCATTAACAGTTATTAACATCAGTTTCTGTGTTGAGTTTTGATTCTATCACATTTAGATTTTTCTAATGTTAATTTATTATGAAATATACATGCTAAGTGATGATAAATATGTAATATTAAAAGTCAGCAGGACCAGTTTCTGTCTCAGAGTTTTTGTAAAGTTATGTTAAGTTTCCCAATAATTTTTTAGTATTGCCAATAGGCTGTTTTTATATTATTTGCCTATCCTACGAAGAGTTTAAAAGAAATTAATTTATATCTGCAATGTTTACAAGATAAATTTGCATGCCTGTGCAATAACAATATCTTTTAGTCTGCTTTAATTCTTTTATATAGTTGTATCAAATTGTGTTCAAATTACCATCTAATTTTTATGTACTTCTAAATATATTTTTTAACTATTTCAGAGTAATGGAAGATGTCCAGTGGAATGTGTCCTACATGGTGTAACAGATCCAACTTGGTCATCCTCACCTACAGCAGAGGAAGCTACTAATTCCTAAATGTGATACTCCTTATAACAATTATCTTTACTTTAATTTGTATATTTTGACAAGTACGAACAGCATGCTCATTTGAACTTCAATATTTATTTTATTTACTTTCATGAGATCATTGTAGATTCCATTTTGTGGTTTAGTGTAATATTGTCATTTGAAGTTCTTATAGAGCTGTTATACAGTAATTAATATGATTTAATAAACTTTTATAAACTCCTTTACTAAGAATTTACTATTTTATATATTAGAACATATTTGTCTTATGCAAATGATTAATTAAAGGAAACATAGGAGTAGGGTCACTAAATTCAAACCCACAGTAATATATGTCAACGAAATATGGATTATGAACTAGCAGGAAGAAAAGAAAGTAGAGATCTGGAAAAGAAATGTGTAGAAAATTTTTCCGAAGAATACAGACAGCCGAGAACATTTGGAGAAAAGAAATAAAGAAGTAATGAGAATGTATGGAAAACCAATATTTACAGCAAAATTATGAGCCCCAAGATCTAGATGGCTTGTTCTCAATATACAAAATGTTCTAACAATACCAAAAGGGGAGAAATGGGGAAAATAGAAGATGATGAATAAAGAAATGGTGAAAGCATTAAAGCAAGACTTATAAATAGGCTGAGGGACTAGAGAGAAAAAGTAAGTGACTGGAAAAAATTAAACGAAATAACATTATTTGTCTCTAATGATACTGAACAATCTAACTTCTTATTGGTATGTTAATGGTATCCAGTATATTGAGTAAATTAAAGGATGCGACATATTGTCACTTTATTTCTCTGAAAAGGGGAATATTTGTGTCAGTTACAGGTTACTGATGGAACATAGAAAAATATTTTTGTTATCATGTGAAAATATCATGTTTTAGTTTATTTTTATACATTGACAACAGGTGATAATTTTGTTCAGGGGGCGCTAATTTCAGAAAAAAATAATAAATAGGTAGTTTCAAGGCGTACTTTTTAAAATGAAACTTAATTCTTCTAAAAAGAGGTTAGTCTTTGTAAATGGGTATATTTATTTAAAAAACCCTTAAAAGGGCCACATCAATAAAACAAATGTTTTCGGACCACACAGTCCATCATCAGGTTTTAAAATCGAAAAATGCTAGGTCACAATGCCTGAGCCACCAAAATACTAGGGTAAAAACCCTTTATTTTACATTTAGTTATGAAAGATTGTACATTGTGTTGTAAAATAACTGTGATGTTCAGTATTAAATTAAATTTGACTAGAGGTAAACACATGGCTCAATCGAGTTCCGGAGCCGGTGAGAGAGAACCTCTACACGCGGAGAACAGCTTGGAACTCCGCTGGTTCCCAGCTGTAAACCTGATGATGGACTGTGTGGTCCGAAAACGTTTGTTTTATTGATGTGGCCCTTTTAAGGGTTTTTTAAATAAATATACCCATATTACAAAGACTAACCTCTTTTTGTTATACGTGGTATACAGCCAGCTACAGGAATTTTTCCTTGTGGATTTTGTTAATTCTTCTGTTTTTATAGGAGATGAACCTATCTATGTCAATGTTTCCTCCAACATTGTATTACTTAGAAATGTCAATTTTAATTCATGGGCATTGTTATTAAAATAATAAAAACTTTACTTATTTCACAATATATAAAATCCAAATCATATGACACTATCAAATTTAAAGTATGTAAGCAACTGATTACATTTTCATTTTCTTGTACTTGTTTCAATCATTGGAAATGCATTTCAAGGGATATCAATGTTTTCTAAAGGTAATTTTTTTCTATAATGTTCATAATTTTCTCTTGGAAGCATTGCAACACAGATAGATGACCTTTAAAAGCAAAACGCTCCTTAATTCAAAATATAATATTGTCACAAGTTTTTCTTTCTGATAAATTTAAATTCTCATTTTGTATCAATCTCTGTCGATTCTAGCATGTTTTTCTTTACATAGGGTGGGCTGTTTCTGATGTTAACTATTTTTTCAAAACTGTTCAAAGCATTGACAATTTCCGAGTCTGTTTCAAATTTTCTGTAGTTGGTTAAATAATCTGTCAACATGTGGCATTATTTTATAAAAGAAATCCAACCAGTACTGAAATGTGGGATCATTAAACCATTTGTCCAAACCAGCAGCTTAAAAAGTGATCTGTGTTATATATTAGGCTTTCTGGACTCAAAACATTCCAGCATACTGTCAAGATTTTCAAATATAGTTTGTACAGCTCTAGACTAAAAATCCCATCGTGATTTTCAAATACGATGGCATTTCAATTCATTTGTTTGTAATTTTCTTTAAAAATATTAGAAAAAATGTTACCTATGTTACTAAAAATATGGACACTATGACTACTTGACATCTCATGTAATAATTTCTTAAATTGGTGTGAATTACAATATATACATATATAATGTGCAACTTGGTTTTCTCTGATTTTAACATTAACTCTCTGCAACTGTCCAAACATTACAGCATAATTAAAAGTCTGTGTAATTAATTTCTCGGGCGTATCTTTTCAAATGGGATTAATTTGTTCTAAAATACCAAAAGAGTGCATGTATTTTTTTGCTAAAAAATTGCTAAAGACGAATATGATCTGATTTTTTGTACAAACATTGTTGTATTGTCTGCCATTAATGCATCTTTTAAATGAATAGACAGTTCTAAAAATACATCCTTATTAATTATTCTTCAGACTCATTATCACCACGTCGTGCAAAGACTGAATTTGCTGCAAAATTTCAAAATATGGATATTTTTTGACAGAACATAACAGTTTTAAAGTTATACTTCTATTACGCGCGTTCGACGTTGGAAATTTGCTATCTCTCTCGAGAATAAAAAATGGTCCTTTTGTAAATATGTTTAAATATTTATTATTATTTATTTTTTTTTTGGTAACTAATGTCATGATTTTCACCTTACATTCTTCTATAGTATTTAGCAGTTATGTAAAATAGATTATTTATCTAGGGGATTTATTTTACAATAATTTTTTAATCTTTGAGATATTCTTAGGTTATGTTTTGTCAAAAGTAAGGAAATTAATGAATCCTATCGTGACACGTCATTTTTATAGAAAGTTTTAAACATCTTTTATGTAGTCCTCGGTAGTATAGTGGTCAGTGTGCCTCCTGTCACCGTAAGGAAGGACTTTTTATTAATTACT